AAATTCTAGGTTCCCATGGCGGGGGGGAGGGAGAGGGTGGGAGAGTGAACTGTGTCATTTGAAGTATCAAAATTGCACTGTGGAGAAGTGGCCTTTACAAAAGATTGCAGCCCTCCATTCTTCTAAATGTCCCCCTTGATCAAGCCAGGACACGAGAGCTTCAGGACCCTCTCAGGACGGCTTCCTCCAAACTGCACCTCAGTCTATGCCGTCGGCCTGTCCTAAAGCAACTGTAAGGAAGCTGTACACACCCTCCTGTCACTAGCTGTGGCGAGCCAGCACGGCCATGGCAAACTCAGCCCCAGGGCGCCTTATGTGCCGCGCCAGCTCAGCTAAGGGTGAACCTGAGAGGGGGCAGTGAAGGATTTGAAAAAGACAGACAAGAGAAGAAAGCTGGGTCTGGGTGGGACGCTGCCCGCTCTGATGGAGAGAGACAGTGCCACAGCTTGTAAGCCGTGTCTTTATTTTATAGCCAGATTCCACAAGGCAAAGTAAGGGCGTGGTTACAACCTTCTCCTGGGTTTCAAATCTACTCAATTACATGCACCTGGTCTCCTTCCCTGATTGCTGCACCTGAGACCTGCTCCGCCCAATTTCTCCTGGGTTTCAAATCTACTCAATTACATGCACCTGAACTCTATCAAGCCCACATCACTCAGGCACGTGGGGCCATGTGTTCGGACCATAGGTTCAAGCTTACAACTATAGCTTTTGGCTATAATTGTGCTGGGAGGGCTCTGCCCTCCACGCCTGGACTTGCACGTGGCCATGAGAGGACTGTGCCCTCTCATTAGTCCAAGGCTTGAACCTGTCCAAACACTGTAGCCGCTCCCCACAACTAGCAGTTATGGAAACACCGTGGGACCTCTCCGAGTGCTCATGCACGCAGCCCAGTGCAGCACACATGCAGGAAAATGCTTCTCCTGAGCCCAGTCTGCTTTCATCTGGTGGCACCATAATGCTTTTAAGTCATCATGGTTTACTTTTGCTCTTAAGAAGCTCGGAGGCCATTTTTCCGCCTGCCTCCAGCAGCTGGACGGACTAGCTGCTCGCCTGTGAATCAACATTTACAGCCCTTGTTTCCCGCTTTGGCCTAAATCCACCATTTGCTCCTTTTTGATGCATTTTTCTATTTCTATCTCAAACTGCTTCTAGAACAAGTCAACCCATTTCTTTTTCTAGCCTTGCCATTCTGCGCTTGAATGCAATTCATGACAACTGTTTGTTTGCTTGATATACTAGTATGTTCTCAGTGACGGCGCTTATTTTATAGTTCTTTTTCTCACCTGCAACTTTGAGGTACTGGACTCGGGGTGTTTTGCAAGCAGATAATCCTCACCCATAATTTACCAGGTGTTGTGTGTCTGCCTATAAGAGGGAAGGTGGGATTTTTTTTGTAGACATACAGAAACACAGAGTGTTGTATTTTTTCTATTCAAAGATACTTCCATAGCACTTACTAGGCCGGGCACTGATCTAAGAGCTTTCCACATGTTAACATTCACAAAAACCCTGTGAGTTGGGTATGATTTTTTATTTCCCTCCACTTTGCAGATGAGAAAACTGAGGCATGGAGAGGTTAATTAATTTACCCAAGGTCACAAAGCGAGTAAATGGCAGAGCTAGGATTAGGAACGGGGTCCTCTGCCTGCAGTCGACACTCTATCCTTAGGCTCTGCTAGAACGAGCCTGGGCATTAGGACCCTGGGCAAGCCACTTAAATCCTCCCTGTCACCTGGGGACCATGATATCCACTGCGTCCTAGACTTGAGATTAAATGAGGCTCCATGGACAGCTGGTGTCCATCCCACAATGGGAACCCAACTTTGTCCTCTTGGGCTAAATCAGCACCGAAATCCAGACAAAACGTCAGGAGGCGTCCAGGCCAAGAGGCATAACTTACCCAACAAAACATTATCTACAAACACCAAAAGTGGACTGCAGCATCCCATCTTTCCTTCTCATGCGGGTACCTGATCGCTGAGAGGCTTTCTAAAATGTGTATTAAGAAACTAACTTAAATTTTGTTTTGACTTATTTTAATATCTGGCATCATCTTTCTGAAAAGTAAAGCTGAGAGATTAAATTACAGGCAAATGCTCTGCCAAACTTAGCCAGTTTGCTGCTTCAACTTTAAACAACAGTGTACATTAAGGAAGTACATCGGACCTCATGATGCCTTAGGTATGTCCGATGATGAGTCTGTCACTGTCTCGTCAGTGTGTCCTGTGACAATTTCAGAAGCAGGGGTTGAACTCTGAATAGTTTAAGCAGAAGTTTGGGACAGTCTGAAACTCAGAAATCCCCTCATAGCAACCCACATGGGTATAGTATTTTTTGAATCTGCAAGGCCCCGTCAGAACTATATATATATTAATATGTTTTTATCGATTTCAGAGAGGAAGGGAGAGGGAGAGATAGAAACATCAATGATGAGAATCATCGATCGACTGCCTCCTGTACGCTCCCTACTAGAGATTGAGCCTGCAACCTGGGCATGTGGCCTGACCGGGAATCGAACCCTGACCTCCTGGTTCATGGGTCGATGCTCAATGGCTGAGCCACACTGGTGGGGCCAGAACTATATTTGCAGTAAACCCTCCCAACCCCATGAGGTAATGACCCCATTTTACAGGTTAGTATAAGAAAGCCCAGGCGGGTAGTGATTTTCATCCATCCAGTACTTGCTTAGTACTAATTGTGTCTTAGGCAGCATGCTGAGGCTCTGGGCAGGACCTGGCCCCTGCTTTTAGGGAGGTTCCATTCAGTGGGAGGCGAAATTCAAAGAGAAGAGCACAGTGTGGCTAGTGCTTTGAGAGCAGCCCACACATGAGAAATGAGGAGAGAGTCTCCTTGGGTCTGGACCGGGGTGTGGGAACGCTTTCCGAAGCAAGATAACAGAGACACGTGAAAGTGCGTGGGAAGAGGACGGTGACCCACAGCACAGCACGTGCAGAGGCGCGAAGGGAAAATGCAGTGCATCTGAGAAAGCACATTTACCTGCTGATTCAAACCATCTGAGCTCCGCCCAAGTGCTGGGCTGGAGCTGGGGGATGGGGACCCTACTACAAATGAGACAAAGTCCTTGTCCTCAAGGAGCCTAATCCTAAGGTAGAAATAAACAATAAAAACATAAGCCAAATAAAAATATGATTTCAGAAAGGGGTGAGCACAAGAAGGAAATAACTCAGGGAATGAGCTGCAGAAATTGGGCAGAGCAGGTCTCAGGTGCAGCAATCAGGGAAGGGGACCTGTGAGTGCAGAGCTGAGAGGAGAAAACACCAATCACGGCCAGGTGAGAGGGATTCCAGGTAAACAGCAAGCACGGGCCCTCACAGGTGAAGCTGGCTGCAGTCAGGAAACAGTAAGGAGGCCAGCGTGGCTGGAGCAGGAAAGATGATGCGGTGGGTGATGGGGGCCTTGTGGGCTGTGGCAAGCAGTTCGGATCTATCCTGAGTGCAGTAAGGACCCTTTGAAGGGTTTCAAGGGAGGTAGCGGTGACACTGCTCATTTCCATTTCTAAGGGGTAACTCTGAAGGCTGAGAAGAATGAATTATTGGGGCCAGAGGTAGGAGTAATAGCAGAAGGCTCCTGCCAGAATCTAAGTGAGAGATGGGTTAGCCTGGGTCAGGGTGATGGCAGTGGAGAAGAGACAGTGTTTTGATCTGAGATAGATTTTTGGAGGCAGCACTGACAGGGCCTCCCAAAGGTTTGGAAATGGAGGTGTGAGTGAGGCAGGGATTAAGGACAACTTCTAGCAACTGGCAAACAGGACACCGTCCTGGCATGGACTATTGTGAGGATGCAGAGATGCTCATCCGACATTCAGGTGAAGATGGTCCATAAGCAGGCACCTAAGACAGCAGCTCTGCGGAGAGTTCCACATTAGTTTTGAAGGTAGGGGTCACTGACCTGTAGATGGTAGTCAGAGCTTGAGGCTCGAATGGAATATTCTAGGGGAGTATGCTGAGTGAGAAAACCCATGTCTTGGTCCAGGGTAGAGGGGGGACTTTAGATGAGGAAAAGCCAGAAAACTACAATGAGATGGAGTGGCCAGTGAAATAGGAGGGAAACCAGGAGTGTAAGGTCATAGAAACCAGGAAACAAAGAGGGAGAAGCAACTGTGTGAAATAATGCTCAGGGACCAACTAGATCCCTGGGGACCTCAAGGGCAAGAAAGCAGCTTCCCGGTGGGGATGGGGTGGAGTTGGAGGATTAAGAAGAAAGTGGGAGGTGAGGTGTACACAGTCACTGCAGACATGTGAGTGAAGAGGAGCAACTATGTGGAGCAGGAGACAGGGGGGCATGAGGTGTTTTAAAGGAAGGAGCACTCCCAGGGTGTTTACATGCCGACAGGAAAGCGCCACTGGAGAGGGGACCACAGCAGCCCTGTCCTTGAGCTGGCAGGTAGGCCACGGGCCACCTTGTCTCTAACTGCACACCCTACCTCTCTGCTCATCTACTTCCTATGATCCTCACAGGCTGCCACCCTTCAGGGCCCCCAGCGTGGCATCCTGCTCCTCTCTCCACTCCCTCCTTGGTAGATCGTATCAGATGGATCTTATCAACTCTCCAAGGTTTCAAATCCCTCCCACACATTGAGATCTTTGTCCCCACTTGATCCTCTTAGATATGGGACATTTCCATGGGATGGTCCATGGGCAGCACTCACTCTAACCAACCCATCCCTCCCTCCACCTCTCTCTCATACTGTGCCCTGAGCAAGAGGCCTTCCTGTCAAAGTGCTTTAACCCCTTTATATTCCTCCAGCCCACCCTGCACATTACCAGCCCCACTGGCTAGTAAGCAGCAAAACCAACACATCAATCAGATCAGTGTGACTAAATCCATACTCCTACCTACTTCCCTCAAAGATGTTCTTGTAGTTACTTGATTTTCAACACATATCATATCATCTCTATTTTAGCCTATAGCTAGTCACATTTAAGTCAGCAAGAGAAAGTATCACTTTACGATAATAAACATAAATGAGATAAAAGTCTAGCAAAGTGGTTTATTCTTACAAAAGTTAGTTGCTGGGAAAGGTCCTTCAAAACAGACCATGCGGTGGAAATGCCTTGGAGAAGGATCCGTCTTTCAGATCTCTTCACAACAGCGCTATGATTTTTATATCTCCATGTTTTAAGAGCTACTACTTCAGATGACAGTAACTCTTGTGTGTCTGTTTTTATTTCCAAGTTTGTGATTTTCCTGAAGAAGCTACTTTAAGGTTGTGAATTGTCTCACTGTCTTTTCACTCTCTCTTTTCAGTTCCTCAATGTGGGCGTCCAGACGCTCGAGTATATGATGAGACCGAAGTTCCTCCTCCTCCAAAAACCTTGTAGCTATTGAACCCAGGGGAGACACAGGCGAGGTACACTAGAGGAGAAGCAGATTTTGACATACATAAGTGGAATAATCTGTTTCTAAGACACGTTCTGCATGATATTTTCTAACTAGCAATATTAAGAGGTGATTTTTAAAAGAACATTTCTTCCTCTTAATAGATTGTTTTTGTTTTTATCCTAATGACAAGAATATTTCTAAAAAATAGTTCTGCAAAAATTAGCAGATTTCTTCCGTTCTGACCCAAATTGTATAAGTATAAAGTGTTATATAAGATGTTAATTGCTGGTCCGAAGAATGTCTCATTTTAAACTTGTACATCCTCTTTACCGCAAAAGAAAATACACTTAATGCCTGTTATTCAAACCCACTTTTAAACTCTGAATATGTTACTTTCACTTTATAGAACAGAGTATCTACCTATAATATATTAGACACTAGTTAAAACCAATTATTTTTCCCTCCTCCAAAATTTCTGTCCGCAGTCCCTTGTTTGACACCCTTGGGCTCAGTGATAGTTCAGAGCTCAGACTTTAGAAAGGAAACAGGCCACACGCAATAGAGCTTCATCAGCAACAGTTGTTTTCTATAAAGTCACCTCAAGCAATTGAATTGGCGAATACAGAATCACTGCCCCTGGGGAAACACACACACACACACACACACACACACACACACACACATCCACCCACACCCTCATACGGGTTATCATGCTAAAAACAACTGATCCTGGTAGAGTCTACTTTCATTTTACAAAATGAGTTCAGAAGTGGTTAGGGACTTGCTGGAGGCCAGCCCACTAAGGATGCCAGTGCTGGGACTCAAACCCTGCTCCCCGGGCCGGAGCTTCCTGCTACAGTGCGCTGTAGGGAGAGCTGAAGCAAGAGGGCAGGGCTGCCGTGGCCACCTCAGCTGGAAATGTGCAAGTCAGGTCACTCAGATTTGTCATAGCTCTGCTCCGGTCCATGAGTGAGGTGGCAGAACTACTATTGACTGGGGTTTACAAATATTTTAAGCAAGGAGGCAAATTCACAAATACCGAATCTGTGACTAATGAGACGGACTGTATTCCCTAGTAGTCTGAGGTAACATTCTATAATCAAACACAGTGATATTGCTGAAGTCAAATCTAATGGGACAAATAAAACCACATTACATCAATTCAGGTCAGGTTTTAGTGCCTAGTAGGTTCTGCTGCCAAACTCGGTAAGAAAGTTAGGTTTCAGGACTGTTTTGGACTTTAAAATTACATAGAGGTGAAGTGGGGATTTGTTTTGAAACCGATGATGGGAATGAATGGGCCGAGGCCAGTGCTTCAGTACAGAAGGCAAAAAACGATGCCAGCGTTTGCACAGGAACCAAGGGCCAGCACAGTGTCAGAGGGCAGCCTCTGCCGGCGGTCTACCACTGTGTGGCTCCGACACGTCAGATGCAATTCCTTCCTCCACCCCTGCCGACCCCCTCGCCCTTTCCAACAGTTCCCTTTTCCTGCTTCACTGTCTGTCTCAGGACTATCCTGCCATCCAGAGGTATTCCTTAAACCAACAGTTCCAATACAAACTGACCCTCTCTAAAAAAGAAAGGAAGGGAATTTCCAATTAGGGTAAAACCAAATGAATATCTAGAACTTATATTTCAGAATGAAGATGTATTCTGCAAAGTAATCATGGCTGAATGTGTCTTCATAAGCAAAACTGTCAGACAGAAATACATGAGAATAATAAAGGGTATTTAGTACTTAAGATAGAGAACCAGTAAGAAACAAAACAAAATGAAAACATATCACACTATTCCCCCTTAAAAGATAAAATCAAACTAAGTAACCTTAATAAACTAAGAAGATCAGGAAGTTTCCATACCGAACACATAGACGCCTCTCGGTCATTTACACTCTCAGAGATAGTGTCAGAAAAAAGGACTTCACTTGGATCTAGCACTGAAGGCAACGAGTGGGCTTTGTACAGAAAGTTGGAAGGCACAGAGCTGAAGGAGCTGGAAGGGCTCAGGTGAGAGCTCACAGAGCTGAGGGCCCTGGCCACGGGCTCTACCCTATCTGGCGCGTGTCCTCGTGCAGAATGAAGACCTGCTTTGTAGTGCTCAGTGTTCATTCCATCATGCCTGTGCTGGCCATGGGATGGCCTGGATAGCAGATTAGGAAACAAAAGTAAAAATTGGAGCAATTTTTCTCATTTAAAACAGAAATGTTGTAGGAAGTTCACTTAAAATAGAAGGCTAATTAGATAAGGCTGTAAAATAAGCAGGTGTTTTCACTCATTCAGGTTCCAAATGTTCCATCCCCACTGCCAGGCCCCTGCCCTTACACACTTCAACATAGCAAGGAAGGCAAGCAAGTTGCCAGAGTACCTAGTGTGGTTAGTGCCAGGACAAAGGGAGGTATTGTGTACATAAGAAGGGCACCTCGCCTTGGCCAAGTGGCTCAGTTGGTTGGAGCGTCATCCCATACACCAAAAGGTGGTGGGTTTAATTCTTGGTCAGGGCACATACCTAGGTTTCAGGTTTGATCCCCAGTCAGGTCACGTGCAGGAGGCAACCAATCAATGTTTTTCTCTCATCGATGTTTCTTTCTCTCTCTCTCTCTCTCAAAAAAATAAAAACATATCCTCGGGTGAGGATTGAAAAAAAAAAAAAGCACCTACCCTTATCTGGGATGAAGGAGGGTTAGAGCAATGAAGGTGTCAGCAAAGGCTTTGGGGAAGAAAATATGTAAACCATGTAGAAAGGCCGGAAGCCAGGTGGTTTTTCATTGAAGTCTGACTTATGGCAACAGCTTATAACTAGCCAAAAATACAAAGCAAGCTTTTTCTAAAAAGCCAACTTATGGGACAAGTGGGGCTGGGGAGGTAGGTGGCAGGCAACATGAAAGGCTCAGGGGAAGAAGGATGCTGTTTATACCTATGGAAGCGCTCTATAACCCCCTCCATGTTTTAACCTGACAGTAGCCTTACTTGTGCACGCTGTATTTCAGAATTAAACATACAGCCCTTTGAAGATTTAATATCTGTAAGTCAGAATTCTCAAAGAAATGAGAATTATATCACAATGATACACATTTTTAATAGATAGTGAAGAAATGTTACTTGAACTCTGTATTCTTGAACCCAGGTGTTCTGCTGTGTGTCGGTTTTAAAAGCATGTCATGGTTTTTTTGGCACATCTGAGTAGAAATCTCCAGCTTAGATTGGGTATCCATCAAATCTTTCTGTAGTTGCTGATTTTCAGACACCAATTTATTTAATGCCTCAATATAATTCTCCTGGAGGTCTGCTAGTGAAATCCCTTTTGCCTAATAAAAAAGAATACTAGAGTCACTTAATTTGTATAAGAATACTTGTGATCTGTGATATCCCTGCCAGTGGAAAATTACTTTCTTTTTAGTTGTAACTAGTTCATCTATACCTTTTCCGTGGAAAAAGTGAGGATTTTCTTTTGGCTCTCTTGAGACTACGAGAGAAAAGGGTTCTGTTTCTTGCAGTAAATGGATGCACACTTGGAGCACAATGGGCTTTCCTGCTGTGTCAGGAATATGCACAGGTAGAGGAAGGCTCAGAGCTAGCAGGGAGGAAAGCTCCAGGTGAGAATCAGAAACAGATAGCAGTCATGGGTTCCTCAAGAAAGAGAAGGTTGGCCCTCACTGGTTTGGCTGGAAAGAGCATCAGCCTGTGGACTGAAGAGTTCTGGGTTCGATTCTGGTCAAGGGCACATGCCAGGATTGTGGGCTCAATCCCCATAAGGGGACATGCAGGAGGCAGCCAATCAATGATTCTCTCTCACATCACTGATGATCCTATCTCTCCCTCCCTCTCCCTCCCTCTCCCTTCCTCTCCGGAATCAATAAAAATACATTAAAAAAGAAAGAGAAAGTTGAATAGCCCTGGAACTCCTGTGGAAGAATATCGAGAACAAAGAGACAGACAGAAAGAAAGAAATTGAACAGAAGTTTCCAAAAAGGAATTCTGGCCAGCGGGGACAACTTTTAAATAAATACTCTTTAGCCTTAGATATTTTTATATAACATTGGCACCTAATCTTGTGTGTGAAATATATTTGGACATGATAAAGCAGCACTCAACTACAAACTGGGAATTACTACTCTGATCTGGTCTGAGTTTTGATCATAAATGTTATTGCCTGGTAACACAGTACCTGCATGGGGGGGTGGGGGGGAATGTCTGGACTATTTTTTTTTCTAATGACAAAATATTTCCATTAGCAGTCTGAAAAATTACGGTAATCTCTGGAGTTTAATACAACGTTTAGCTTGGTCTTTTCTGTAAAGAATTTTTTGAAAATAAACTGATCAAGAGTGGTTTGACATACAGAATTTACCCAACTAAAGCATAAACTTTAAAATACAACCTTTTAACTATCTGTGTACCACTAGTGACAATAAGTTACAAAATCTTTCAATAAATTGTCAATGCCAGTTAAATTCCACCCCCTAAAAGAATTTGCAGAACACAGGATTTAAACGGCATACTATTGTCAAAACTGCAAACTTAAAACTATTTTAAGATGTGGTAAATAATTTACTTACCAGAGTTATTGTTTTCATTAAGGTAATTGATTTACTAAAATAGTCATTTAACCCTGGTCAGTGTGGCCAGTTAGTTGGAGCACTGGCCCATGCACAGAAGGGTCGCAGGTTTGATTCCTGGTCCAGGCTCATACGGGAGGCAACCAATCAATGTTTCGATCTTTCTCCCTCTCTCTACCTCTCTCTCTAAAATCAATAAAAATCTATCCTTGGGTGAGGATTTAAAAAAAAAAAAAAAGGCCCTGGCCAGTGTGGCTCAGTTGCTTGGGCATCATCCCATGCGCCCAAAGGTTGCCAGTTTGATTCTTGGTCTGGGTTGCAGGCTCAATCACCGGTAGGGGGTATGCAGGAGGCAGCTGCTTCATGTTTTGCTCTCACATAGATGTTTCTCTCTCTCAAATTCAATAAAAAAAATCTTAAAAAAATAGTTATTTAACCCAAACATTCATTTGTAAAAGCAGTTCTGCCTTCCTAGGTGGTAAAATACAAAAAGACACTTTGTAATAACTATTCTTAATATGTACAACATATTCCCACTGTGTGTAACCTCAAAACCAGAGGGAATTTAAACTATGACAGCACTTTCACCAGCCTGAGTCTGATGTCATCAAATATACTTTTTTTTAAAAGATAATGCTAGCCTTTGCCAGGCATCTTTTTAAGTTTTCCCAAATCTTATTTTATTAACAACAATTGCAGATAAGTGAACGTAAAAGGCAATATAAAAACTGCAGCAAGCACACACCTGGCTGTATAAAGAAAGGACGGTACTACCACTGTTCGGTGGAGGTCTCAGAGAAACAGAGCTGAACAGAATCTCGGGTCATAGTCAGGCTTAAGCGCCCCTGAGAGTTCCCAACTCATATGTGAACGGGTCCTCACTGCATGAGAGAAGATCCTATCAATCAGTTATTGCCAACTCCTGGGCCTTCTGAAGATTCTGTGTTATAAACCAGTTAGCTCTGGGCTCTCTCCACTGCTAGCTGAGTACTGGCTTTATCAGGGCATATAAAGTCATTTCTATCCCTCCCTTCTTCTTCCCCCGCACAAGATATTTAGCTCTTGTCTCCTTTCCTATTTTTACCATCTTGTAAATTCGTGCTTTAAAGTAATTCCTTTCATTATCGTTTTAGAGGGCTAGGAGGAGGGAGCAAGATTAGAGGCATATTTTCATCTGCTACCTTAAGTGGCAGCATAGTATTTCATAGTATAGGAAGCCACAAATTAACCATCCCTCTATAGATTAACATTTAGTTTATTTCACATTTTTGGGTATTGCAAACAACAATAAAATGACCAATTCTGCGCATTTGCTCATATAGGATGGGTACTTTGGGAATGAAAACTGATAGGACCTTTCTGGGGAATTATTTAGCAATAACTATCAAATTCAGAAAGGCACATGACTTGGGATCCCATTCCTGGTGTGGGCTCATACGGGAGGCAACAAATCGATATATAGGCTATATATATTTACAAGTTTGATGGATGTTGCTAAATTGCCTCCTAGAAAGGCTTTATCAATTCACTTTCTCATTAACAGAGCATGAAAGGGCCCTGCTTCCCTGTGTGTTTGCCAACACTGGCTATATTAATTAGTTTGTAAACATCAGTGTCAATCCAAAAAGCAATAGAATATTTATTTTGTTTTGATTATTAGGGAGGTTGAACAGCTCTTTTTTCTGGATTTTTGTATTCTATGAATTATCTATTTATGTCCTTTGATCATTTTTCTACTGAATTATCTTTTATTATCTTTGTATGAAATCCTTATATATTAATATTTTATGTTAACCATCTGTCTGTTTATAGATTGTTTTCCCCAGTCTTTTTTTTTAATGGGATCTTTTGCCACCCAGAAATTTTACATTTTTATTTTGTAAAATTCCTTACACTGTAAATTCTTTATGGTTTCATGACGTTAAGAGAATCTTACCCTCCCAAAAGATTATAAAAATAGTTCTCCATATTTTCTTTTAGTTGAAATAAAGTGGTCATCTAGTGTGTTGCACTTCCTCCCACCCAGCCTCCATAATCCATAATTGTAAAATTAGAACTACATGAGAGCAAATAGGGGTATTGAGTAACTATGCATCTTTGGAGGCATATATTCTCTTGGAAGTACAGGAAAAAAAAAAGGATTTCTATAGTCCTTGAGCATTTGACCTATATTAAAAAAAAGATGGGTTAGAATAGATGGGTCATTTTGCAAGTTATAAGAATTTATAACAAAATAGTTAAGAGCATTAACATTTTATAACTCACTGTTTAGTTAATCATGCTCTGTATGGTTTCATAGGAGCTAGTACACATTTCTTATCTCCCTAATAGACTATTCTCAATCTCAAGCATTGGTGGGGAATGTCCAGCCCGCGGATCGTATAGGGCCCACGAAATCATTTGGTCTGGCCCTGCCAAGGCATTGGGGTAAGTTAATTAAATGTTTGATCAAATATAGCAGGCTAATTTTTATGTTGATAATTTTATATGGCCTATGAATGATGTTATAAATATCCAAATGGCCCTTGGAAGAAAAAAGGCTCCCCACCCTGTCTTAAAGAGAAGAATCCTCTTATTCCTCCTTGTGTCATCATCTAGTAAAATGATCTGAATATAAAAGATTTTAGAATATTTGATTAAATTAATTCCTTCTTATAAAAATATAATTAAAACTAAATTATTAACAAGATATACTTTATAATGAAAATACATTGTGAACATAATAATTATAATAATAACAGCATCTAACACTTTCTGTGTACTTACTAAATGCCAAGCACTATGCTAAATCCTTTATATACATATATGTATTTTAACATGTGCATAATATCAAAGGTATCTTCCAGTTGCTGGAGGAGAGAATCAAGTTTGGCTCACTTCCATCACTATATTTGAGAAGGTTTCTGCAGAAAGATCATTCCATATTTGATCTTAACTCTCTTTACAATATCAATATTTACAAAGTGACTTCTTTAAAGGCTTGGGTAGCAGAAAAACTCAAGTTTCTATTTATGTACCTCATGCAAACCCACTTCCAGTTTCATCACCATTTCAGAAAGATGACGATTTTCTAACTTGAGTGACTCCAGCTGATTCAAAATCTCCTGAGAAGGAAAAAGCAGAAAACACGAATACACAGAAATAACAAATCAAGTACATCTTACACAATGTTTTCTCGTGTAATTTTCATTTGGAAAAGTTATATTCTTCATTAATATATAAATATTTTCTTAAAATATTTTTAAAGGTGTCTCAAGATGAATCAACATACATGTAATTAAAATATTATTTTAAGAAGATTAGTCAATTCACTAGCAGAGCCCTAACCCTCCCTGTGTTAGCCTCCTCTGATTGGGCTTCTACCTCCAACACTGCATGCACTGCACTCTTTTCATAAAATAATACCTTATTTTCAGTCCTCATTCTCCTCAGCTTTTCTACTCAACCAAAAAGTCCTGCCTTCCTTGGCTTCCTGCTTCCTAAGTGAAACTTTCCTTCCTTATTGCTGCTATTTTTTTTTTTTAGCTCCATGCCAACACCGTTTTTACCCTAAATGAGTAATGTCCTAAGTTTGGTTCAAGTCTCTGCCCCTCATACTCTATGCTTTCTCGTTATAATCACTAAGTCTCTCAGGATGTTTCAAATGCCAGCTTCATGCAAAGACTTCCACAGCTAAATGTCTCATCCTGATTTTAATCTTGAACTCCAGGCCCTCTGTGGAATTGACTATTAGCAATTTCCATGTGAAAGTCCAGACTTCATCACAAGCCAAATGTGCCAAACCAATGTCCCCTCTACCAGCTTCCCTGTTTTGTCTACCTTTCATACAAATTCATTATCCTCCCCCAAACTGCTTGCTATCTTTTCTCTATCTCACTAAGAAGCATCACTTTCCACTCAGTTGCCCAAACTGGAATCCAGTGACATCTTTCTTTAACTCACCCCCAACCCACACCACCCCACCCCCATCCAATCAAAAACAAAGCCAGATATCTCCACAATTCATCCCTTCCCCTCTACCTCCCTTGCCCACTGCTCAGGCCACCATTCTACTATTAGAACTGCATCTGGGTGGTCTCTTTGCCTCTTTGCTTCTTCCACACATGATGACCACAGAGATCTTTTATCCTACTTGAAGCCATTCTCTACTGACAACACTCAAGGTGACACTCCAACTCTTAAGCATGACTGACGGGACCCTTCAGGAGCTAGCCCCTGCTTTCCAGTCCCCTCCACTGTCACTTGCCCCACTTGTACTCTAGTCTGTCACGGAGAACATGTCATACTCTCACCACATCCCACAGCAACAGCCTCCTCACTTGTCTGTCTAGTCTCACCTCCCCACCAGTCATCCCTAGAATGCTCATTACCCAGCATATTCTCAGCTCAAAGCAAGTGTCTAATAAAAATCTACTGAATTAAATACCATGGAAATTATAATTTTAATAAATTCACTCTTCAAAAACAAACTTCAAGTAAAATGAGGTTTTGTTGGAGTGTCACCTTGTGCTCTACTGCTTGCTCTTCTGCCTTTTGTATCTCTGCTTTGAGTCGCTTTTCCATGTCGGAGGAAGAACTTTTGGCAGAAGCAATAGTGACATCTCGCTGATGTAACTCCCGAGTTAACTGGGAGATTTCCATCTTCATTCCTTCGAGTGCAGAATTGTAACTCTGGTCAGCCTGCAAAATCTGTTCTTTCAACTACAAAGAAACAGAAAGGAAAGCATAAAATATTAAGAGAAAGCATATAGATTGAAAAGTATATTAATAGTTAAAATAATATGGTAATTTTTACCTTACTTTAAGACATGAATTATTTCCTAGATTAAATCTGCAGAAAATTAGCAATTTACCAAGTTGCATATCTGTACTGAAGGTCAGCTAGTTCTACCCACAATCACTTATATCTCAAAACAGGACAGATACAACTGTCCCTCCTGTTTAAACACTGAGAACCAGTATCAAAGCCTATGCACACATTACTTAGAGGACAGCACCTGGGACCTTCATTCTTTAGTTAGCTACAAAGCTAAAAATTTTGCTTACATGGTTTCCTGGTCCATAGACGATAATAGAAAGATAAGAAGAGAAGGGCTAGAAGTAACCTCAAAGAAGTAATAAAAATCTGAGTCAACAAACAGGACAGCCAGGGCCCATTAATGCAGACACAAACTGCTCTGTACACCTCAACAGCTAACAAGAATACTGACTACAGTCAGCACAGAGAGGCGACATATCCATAACTACCATCTACTCCTGAATAGCAAGTGGCCCCTTGGACTACATTTTTCTCTTATTGAAAATAACTCCTACAACCTCCAAAACCCAGAACTCAATCCATAAGTACAAACAACTTGGCGATCCCACGCATGCAAATTTTTACCTTCTTAATCTCTGCCCTGTACTCATTGTTATGTACTTCCATCTTCTTCAATTCTTCATATTTTTCCATTAGTTCTTGGCTCAGCTGTTTACATGTTGTACTCACAGATTCCAAGCTGTATGACAAAAATAGGATCACATATATAAAACAAAACCCCGAAACCCACCAACTGAAGTATCTAAATGACCTTTTTGATGTCCAAGACATGTTCACAAACATCACCTCCCACCCCAAATTAAAACTCATTTCCAATTTCCTCATCACCTGAGGCAGCTAAATCCAATTCAAACTTTTGGTGATACTTTTTTTTTTTTTAGAGTTGGAAGGGATGGGGAGAGACAGAGAAACATAGATGGGAGAGAGACACATCGACTGATTGCCTCCTGCACACACCCCAACCAGGGCCAGGGATCGAGCCTGCAATTGAGGTATGTGCCCTTGACCGGAATCAAACTCTGCACCCTTCAATCCACTGGCTGATGCTCTATCCACTGAGCTAACTTGGCCAGGGCTGGAAATACTTTTGATTTCTGTATTTATCTATAGTCTTTCCTTCTGCTTAAAATTTAACTGGTTACAACATGCTAAAGATTGTAGCTAATTTTCCTTTTCTGGCTGTACAGGAGCTGCCATCATACTCTAAATCCTCTCTACACTTAATTAGAATGCTATTCTACACACAGCTGTCAGAAAAATCTTCTTTAGAGTTCCAAATTGTCACCCTTACTTAAGAATCAATCCCTTATCAGGTATAGGAACCTCATGGGCACCATACCTCTCTTACCTCACTGCACATTTCTACTAATAAAATCTTTTTCCTTCTGAGTCAACAGGCTTCCTCTCTGCTGTGTGTCCTTTGCTGCACCTGACTTCCTGTCTCTGCACAGACCATCCCCTTGACCACGAAGTAGCTTCCCCTGCTGCCTGGCAATGGATGGTCAGCATCCTTTCAAGAACCAGACCAGCGTTTTCCTGGTCATTTCCCTAATCACCTTAAATGTAGTCTATTTTCCATTTTTATAGCTTGAATGTGCAAATTTTCTACCTTAAATCTACTACTTTATTTTTTTAATATATTTTTATTGATTTCGGAGAGGAAGAGAGAAGGAGAGAGATAAAAATATCAATGATGAAAAAGAATTGGCTACCTCCTGCATGCCCCCTACTGGGGACCGGACTTAAATCTACTATTTTAAATTGCTCTCAGGTCCTTTAATGTGTATATTTTGTCTCTCAAACTACAAATTCTATGATTAAAATAATGTTTTTTATTCTTATTTTCCTCTGGCTTTGCCCACCATCCTCTCAGCACCTGGATCGTTGGTTCCAGACTGTTCAACAAATGCTTAGTAACTACCTAGAGTGTTCCAGCAACACAGCCAGCTTATCAGATATGCTATCATTTAAAAAATCTTTAAAATTCAACAATACAAAAACAATTATTTAAGTCCCTCCAATTAAGTAATATTTTATTCAGACTGAACAACACAAACTATCTAAAAGGGTTCCTGCCGAAACCGGTTTGGCTCAGTGGATAGAGCGTCAGCCTGCGGACTGAAAGGCCCCAGGTTCGATTCCGGCAAGGGCATGTACCTTGGTTGCGGGCATATCCCCAGTAGGAGATGTGCAGGAGGCAGCTGATCGATGTTTCTCTCTCATCGATGTTTCTAACTCTCTATCTCTCTCCCTTCCTCTCTGTAAAAAATCAATAAAATATATTTAAAAAAAAATAAAAAAAATAAAAGGGTTCCTTTTTTTCTAGTTGCCTTTAGATACCAAAAAAAAAAAAAAGAATTTTTTAAATCCAGTGTTTGAGTACTGAACATTGGTGTTTGTATCCATTCGTTTCAGTTTTACCTATTTCCGAAAATCCTAGAGTGCTCACTTATTTGGTACTTGGTATGTCAAACACTGAGTGGAGAGATCAGAGACACCTTGTCCTTTGTACAGGTGGGGAAGTCGGGGCCTACAGAGGCTAAGTGTCCCAGGTCACCCTGCACATCAGAGTAAGAGGAGAGCAGAGTAAAACACACATACATGCAACAGATTGCTCAGAAACCAACCAATGGAAAAGCTACAGTAAAAATGTCAAATTAGTTCTACTGTCAAAAAGAATAAGATTTCAATTATTTTATTCAATCTAAAGGGTACATAAACACCTCAAGAATGATAACCAGGAATATCTTAAGTATTCCAGGGTGAAATATAAATAAGGTAAAAACTACATGGATATGTGTAGGCATGTATATTTAATATGTAAAGAAAATACTTGGTGGTGTCCAAAAACAGAAATAAAAGTAAAAACAAAAAATGTCTTACTTAAAGATAAACTTAAAAGGGTAAAGCAACAATTTTTTGATGTTTGCCTAAAAGCTAATAGTTTATATATTTTACCTTTTAGATACAGAAAATGTTAGTGTACAAATGACCATGATTCGTGTTTAAAATAAAATATCAAACTCTCCCCAGTCAAAAAGTCTAGCGATATGACAAACAAGAGTTCACCAGTGTGACAATGGTACAAGTGAGCTGAGCATGGAATGACACAAGTCAGGATTAAATTAACACCCAGGGAAATACCAACAGCATTTCAGAACAGAGGGAAGGAACACGCGTGTCCAGTGTGCCTCGCCAAGGCAGTTCCACGAGCTGGCTGGTGGAGAGGAAAGCATAACGCAAGGGGCTCCACGTAGGTGGAAGGTGAAGGAGTACTGACAGTCAGCACAGACAGCCCTTTTGAGAATTTGGTTTTGAAAGAGAGCAGAGAAATATGGAAGTAACTTGACAGGGATATAAGATTAAAGGAAGATTTAAATTTTCCCCCCAAGATAGGAAATATTAAAGCATATTTTATACCACTGGAAAAATTATTTATCAGAGATAAAGAACTTTATGATGCAAAAGAGGAGAGAAAAACTGTGAACAGTAGGAGCAGACATGTCACCCATCAATTAAGCCTCTGCAACAGATTATGGGCACAGATGCAGGCAGACTGGTACATTTGGTGGCAGAAAGATTAGGAAATTCTCCTTTAATTGCTTCTGTTTTCTCAAAGAAATAAGAAGTTAGGCCATTTGTGGATGTTAGAGGGAAAAATATTGTGTTTTCACTGACTGTTACATTAGTACTTTATCAATATGATGATCAACACCATTTTTAACGACTTGGCCACTTCTGAAATGTATATACGAGTATCCACCTGCTTTCCAGACGAGTCACCTCTGCCTGCAGAAGCTCCTCACTGGTGTGGGTCAAATCCAGCTGGGAGAGCACGTTGTCTAAGTCCTGATCGTGCGTGGTGTACTGCCTTTCAGTCTGAGACTCCTCCAGTGACCTATGGAGAAATACAAGAGGACTATTAAAGGCCTTTTATCTTTGCAAACAAAAATAACATGCAACACGTTCACATTTCCCAACTGTTCTTGGTAATGAAACTCTCTGGGACTCCAGTTTGTCTCCTCTTTAGGAAAAGGACACTGTGGGAGTAAAGAGGCAAGAGATATATTTCTCAAAAACGTTGGCAGCAGTTCACTCCTTTCCCAACTGGAACTTGGCCTGATTTTCAAGGGGAAAAGACAAAATGACAAAAATCACTTTGTTGACACTTGATACCTTGAGTCAAAGAAACTAGAAAATTACTGGAGAGTTCTGGCAAGAATAGAAATGTGCACCAGAGTTAAATCAAGCCAAAGGAGCACTGCTCCTTCTATATCTTTCCAATGCAAACTCACAGCAGTAATTCATTTCAGAAATAAAACCAGTTTTAGAATTTTTTTAAAGGGCCATCTCAATAGCTGGCTTATCGATAATAAACAGTTAATAATTATGACCTAATCTACCAAGGAAGGGAGGCCTTCCAAGAGATGTGGCCTATAATTCCTTCCATCTTTGGAGTTTGGTCATGGGTACAGATTGACCAAGCGGTTCCTAACTTTCTAAGCATCATAGTCTTTAGGTTATGGACCCAAATTGAAGGCAGAAAAGACTAACCACACACAATTTTATAAAAATTTAACTCAGAAATTAAAACTAAGAAAACCCATAATATAATCAAACACAAATTTATACTAGTAAATATGCAACATTAAAACTGGATTAATATTTAAGATGAAATATACCTTATGACCTCTACTGTGTGTTGAATGTCGGTTGCCCTTAATTTTGCTTGTAGAGTCTCCTTTTGCATTTTTGTCTCATGGATGACATTTTCTTGAGAATGAAGAGTTGCCTTCAACTGTCTCTTTTCTTCCTGCAGAACCTACAAAATACTCAGATAAAAAGTCAGATGTTATTACAATTTTTCTATTTCAAGAGAAAAGGAAACCAGGGAGTCAGACTATAAGTTCTTTAACAGGCACAATATTAATAAGACTACCAATATCTGATCCATCAGCTACAGAATAGGAAAGAAACCAGATTTTTGAAATAGTTCTAGGTTAATTATTCTCTTGAAACATACATACACACATTTCCCCAATTATAGTAATTTTAAAACTCACCTCTAACAATTTTTCAGATTCCCTCAATTTTTCTTCTTTTTGCCGCTGCTCTTGTACAACAGTCATATTGGTTCCAACCAAGTCATTGACCCTCATGGTGAGGCGCTCTATTTCCATCTCATTGGCACAGATGGTGTCATTGGCCCGCTCGAGCTTACTGCTCAGGTGCTGAATTTCTGACTGGCGGGACAGCTCCACAGACTCTAATTTCTGTTTCCGGTTGGCAAGCTGAGCCTAGGAACACAGATTACCAATAGGTAAAAGTGAAATGATAAAAGAATAATCAATGAATAAGGAAAACTAAAATGAAACTGAGTTGTACTTTCATAAAAACATGAAGCATCAGCTCATCAAAAATATAACCCATTCACGATATAAGAAAAGCACCATCAAACAAACAAACAAAAAACCTCTCATGATAAAAACTTTCTCGACTTGATAAAGACTATAAAAACTGTACAGCTTCAGCATAGAGAATAAAATCAATAATATTGTAATAACTATGCATAGTGTCAGGTGGGTACTAGGCTTATTGGGGGGATTACTTCATTAATTATATAAATGTCTAGCCACTATACTATACACCTGGAACTAATAAAAAATGAATGTCAGCTCTAATTGAAAAATAAAAGAGAATTAAAAAACAAATAAATAAAGAAAAAAAAAGCAAGGTTGTTTCCTGTTACCACTCCTTTTCAACATCACATTGATGTCCTTGCTAATGCAATAAGGCAAAAAAAAAAAAAAAGGAAATAAAAGGTATGCAGATTGGGAAGGAAGGCACAATTATCTTTGTTCACAGATAATATGATCATCTATGTAGAATATCTAAAAGAAATCAACAAAAAGAACTCCTGAAATTAATAAGCAATTATAGCAAGGTTGCAGACACATGGTTAACATACAAAAGTCAATGACTTTCCTACATACCAACAATGAACATGTGAAATTTGAATTTAAAACATATCATTTATATGAACACCTAAAAATTAAATAGTAAGTATAAATCTAACAAAATATGTACAAGGTCTATAGAGAAAAACTATAAAACTGATGAATGAAATCAAAGAAGATGTGATTTCATAAATAAATAGGAAGGTATGCCATGTTCACGGATAGGAAGACTCAATATCGTCTGGATGTCAGTTCTTCTCAATGTGAACTGTGGATTCAATCAAGTCCCATCAAGTTACTTTATGGATATCAACAAACTGATTCTAAAGTTTATATAAAGAGGTAAAGACTAAGACAACAGAAATATCCCAAAAGAAAAATGAGCAAAGGACACAATTTACAAAAGAATGGAAATGGCCATAAGCAGATGAAAAAATGTTCAATCTCATGCATAATTAAAGAAATACAAATTAAAATGAATAATCGGACACCATTGTTTTTTATCCAACAGACTGGCAAAGACAAGCCTAAAAGTAGGGAAAATTAAAAGAAGTAATAGTGTCTAATATTGAAAAGTGTGAGAAAATGGACATTCTTAAATATTGCTGGTGAAAGTCTGTATCAATACATCTTTGAGAGCACTTTGACAATATATGTTAAAATCTTTAAGAATGTACAACTACTCTGATGCAGCAATTTCACTTCTAGGGCCATTTCCTAAGAAAATAAGTAAACATGTACTCCTAAATATTTATATAAGGATGTTCTCCCAACAATCACTATTTACAAGAGTGGAAAAGTAAAAAACTAAATGTCTGCAACAAGGGATTGGTTACATAAATTATAGTACATTTAATGGCAGACTGAACTTCTATGCAATCATTAAGACCACACACTTGTTGACATGTCATATTTAAAAAAGAAAACTTTTCAACTTGTGAAAATAAAATACTGTATTATAAAGAGCTTAGCATAGAGTCTGTCACAGAGTAAGCACTCTATGTTTTAAAGTTATGTCTTATAAAAAATTTTCAAAGTACAAATACAGAGAATAAGATGATGAACTCCTATGTATTTCATCACCTATCTTCAACAATTACCATTTTGCCATTCTTGGTAAATTTTAAAGTTTGCAACTATTCCTCTCTTGTGATACATGCACATGTTTTTCTACCAAATGTGTATGAATGCAATGTACACTGCATATAAGCATAGGAAAGGTTTGAAGAAATTAACTCCAAAATATTAACCACAGTAAACCTCTAAAGGATGGAATTATAGCTAACTTTATTTAATTCTCTTTTCATCTACATTTTCTTGTATTTCTAAAATGAACATGTATTATGTAATTTTAATAGCTGACTAAAAGAAAAGAACTCAAGCAAATATATAACTCAAAGTGTGAGAAGGTATTCTGAGCTCCACTTTTAAATGTTAAGAAACATAATAAAAAAGTTTACATCAAGAATTTTTTTAAATTGGGGGGAAATATGTTGATATCTAATTATCTAATTTCCCAGATTTTCTATCTCATTGTTCAAAGCGACTCACAAATGAACAAAATGCAATGTGTCAACTTTTACTGGATTCCAATTTGAGCATAGAACTGTAAAAAGACAGCTGCAGAAATCTGAACACACCGGATATTAAATTACATAAGAAGTTATTATTTATTCTACTAATGTGATACTGGTATACTAAAAGCATGATTTTTTAAATTATTTTTGTTGGGAAATAAGACAATGTCTGTTGCAGCATGGATGGAACTGGAGAGCATTATGCTAAGTGAAATAAGCCAGTCAGAAAAAGATAAATACCACATGATCTCACTCATTTGTGGAATATAGAGAACAACATAGACTGATGAACAGGGACAGATCCAAAGACAGAGAAACAGCGATCAGACTATCAATCCCCAGAGGGAAAGTAGGGGAGGGTGGGAAAAAAGAGGTTGGGGGTTAATGGGGGGATGAGGACACATTTGTAATACCTTAACCAATAAAGAAATTAAAGATAAAAAATAATAATAAAGCCAAAAAAAAAGACAATGTCTGTTACAAACTTTGTAATATTCCAGCCAGAAATAAAAGTAGGGAAGGCTGAAACAAGAGTAGCAAATGAGTTGTTCAATGGGTACAGAATCTTAGTTTTTTGCAAGTTGAAAAGTTCTAGAGATCTGTTACTCAACAATCTGCATGTAGTTAACATTTCTGTACTATATACTCTTTAAAATAGTTAAGATGGCAAATTTTAACGTGCTTTTTACCAAAAATTTTTTTAAATTGGCAGAATGAGAACTATTAATGCTGGATAATGGTATACAGAAGTTTATTTAAAAGTTTGTTTTTCTTAAATGAGGACCATACAGCTCTGCTACATACTGAATCACAGAAAGATTTCATTTGGTTGGTTTGCTAAGGGAGAAAGAGAAATATAAGTAACATGTTTTAACTTAAATAAAAGTATCAGAAGAATAATTCAAATACCCTTAGAAAACAAATGTTGGCTTTTTAAAAAGGCCTATTATTCTAGCCCTCGCTGAATTTTGGTACATAAAAATCTCATTTTTACTGACAATAAAGTTTTAATTATGCAGAGTAATCACAATAGTAATTTGAAAATAAAGGGTCTGCAGTCAATAATAAGTACATTCTATAGATGAATAATTGACAACTATCAAAAGCTCAATTTTCTTTTTTGCCAACCTGAAGGCTACAATTAGAATATAACGATATCTTATGTGTATTTGTTTAGCACTTTAGTTCAGGTCAAAAAACTCAGATCTAGACATCCAGGATTTTATTGGCCCATTCTGGTTATGTAGCTTACTGCAGCTTTGAAAATAAATTTCTTCCCTGAGGTTGCTGTGAGTCCCTCCTGCCATTCTCAATGGAGATACTCACAGCAGAGCCATCGGTGGTAGTTTATTGGCAGGCTGATACTTCAGGGGGATAGTCAAAGGCCAATATATTGCCCGAGTCAGTATGGCTCAGTTGGACGTTGTCCCATGCACCAGGAGGTTGCCAGTTGATTCTCATCCCATCCCAGTCAAGGGCACAGGCACAGGTTTCAGGCAATATCCCCAGTAGGAGGCATGCAGGAGGCAGCAATTGATGTTATGCTCTCTCACATCGATGTTTCTCCCTCCCTCTCCCTTCCTCAATAAAAAAAAATACATATATTAAAAAAAAATTACTGAGACTTGAAGCAGAGAATAAGCAGATTATTTTTTATTTTTTTAAAAAAGCTTCCTTCCAGTTCTCTTATTCAGTCTATTCCCTCCTTGTATAAAACAGATAATTACCAATCTCGACAGATTATCATATAAAACAGGTAACATAAAACTATATATTCTAGAGAACTGCATCTAGAAGAGGCATTGGATAGTGTCTAGCATATAATAGATGGTCACAAATATTCATTTCCTTTAATGTTTCCCATTATTTTCTTAGTTCTTAATTGAAAAAGCAAACAAACTGAAATTGTCCCAAAAAGAAATATTCCTAAATTGGTGGCTATATTTTGGTTTTGCTTAAGCCATTAGCTCTTCATTAAAAAACAGTTTGTACCAGTGTTCTAAAAAGTGTTTCTGTTGCCACAAAGATTCTGCTTGTTATGAGTGTGCACACCAATGCAGTGTGAATACTTAGCACTTGTATTCACAGGGAGACTTGCTGAAGCTCCCAGCTGAGGTACCTCAGCCAAAGTACCCCAGCTACCAGAGTCAGAGCAAAACACAGCCAGCGACAGCCAGAACAAGTAAGCCAGAGACACAAAGACAGAGAACAGGGGCAGAAAGAGAAAAGTGGAGGGAGAGGGGTGGAGACCAAGATTAGGAGAACGAACATGAATGTGAGAGTAGAGCGAGACTGAGAATGCAAGAAGTTGAGAGAGTAAGAGAGCAAGAGAGAGAGCATGAGTGGGGGAAAGGAAGCCAGGGAAGAAGGCAAAGGAGCAAGTGGGCATGAGGACACAGTGGATGTGGGTAAGCACACGCGAATTACATCAAGCCAGTTCTAATTTAATCAAAACCTCTCTGCCTCGAATTCTTTTAAAATGCCTACATCCTACCTGAATGATCTCTGATTGTTCAGCCAGAGCTTTCCTTTGAGCCTCCAGAGACGATACCTGTTGCTGATAAATCAAACGTTGCTTCTCCCAGTCCAATGATTTTTGACGAAATTCCTGAAGAGGCAATTAAGTACTTAACTTCTAAGTGCTTCCCCTTGCTGTCATACCTCCCAGACTCACTTTTCCTTTAATTTTCCCCCACATCCCTGGGTACACATGCACCTTTCCCCACAGCAGGAGCCCCATTACTCACTTAGCTGATAGGACTGTAGAGTAATACTGAATTCCTTACATACTGTGTGTCTGGATATCTGTCTTTCTAAATTTAACACCCTAATGGTGAAGAGAATGAAACACAGAGGCTAATACTGGTTCATGGAGATTTTCATAGATTTGCTGCCACCTAAAGGCAGTTATAATTTTTTAGTGACTTTTCAGAAAACTGATGCTAAGATAACTAAAATTTCAAAATATGATTACAGATATCCCTTGCTAGCCAAATTCTCTTTTTTTTTAATCCTCACCTGAGGATATTTTTTAATTGATTTTTAGAAAGAGAGGGTGAGAGGGAGAGAGAGAGAAACATCGGTGTGAGAAAGAAACATTGATCAGCTGCCTCCCATACTCACCCCTGTCTGGGATGGAACCACAACTTAGGTATGTGCCCTGACTGGGAATTGAACCCACAACCTTTTGGAGTATGGGATGATGTTCCAACCAACTGAGCTACCCAGCCAGGGCGCTATCCAAAGTCTTGATATCCAAACCCAGAATTGAACAGATTCAAATAAATTTCCAGGTAAGTCCTTTGGTAGCCCAATTCTTATTTCTCAGTATCAAAAACTCAGGAACCAAACAGATCCAGATAACACAATATCCTTTCAAATACAAATTTTTACTATCTCAACAGAACAACTGCACAGACTTGAATAACAAGAGAAATCTGGCCCTGATCGGTTTGGCTCAGTGGATAGAGCGTCGGCCTGCAGACTGAAGGGTCCCAGGTTCGATTCCGGTCAAGGGCATGTACCTTGCTTGCGGGCACATCCCCAGTAGTGGGTGTGCAGGAGGCAGCTGATCGATGTTTCTCTCTCATCGATGTTTCTAACTCTCTATCCCTCTCCCTTCCTCTCTGTAAAAAAATTAATAAAAAAATATTTTTTTTAAAAAAAGAGAAATCTGTACCAAATTTTAACAGATATGATAACCCAAAGCAAACAGTTTAAAGTTAACGATAGATCAATAGTAACTTTGAGTTACATGATCAAGAAAATGAGCCCAATATTTATGAAAACAGGGCAAATCAAAGGGAATAAAAACTCAGTCTTTCTGTTACTGTCCTCCAGAAGTCTCATACTAGCTTGGGGTAATTATTGTTAACCGTCAGATCATTGCTCATTCATTCATTCATTCAATCATATATGCCAGGTATAGTTCCAGGTGTTAGGGATACAATAGCTAACAAAACAAACAAACAAAAATCCCAGACCCACTCAATGTGAGAGCAATAGACAATACATTCATTGTATGACTACTGTGGTTGTATGTACATTGGTCGGTGATATAGGCTGATGACATGAAAATCGAAGATGTGGTTTTTGAGGTAGAAAGAAAAGAGATTGGTCAGGAAGTAGTAATGAGGAACTTGGGAGCGGGGGAGCCCAGATTTCACGCAGAAGGCCGGAGAGGAAACAGTATCTCTGTAGTCCTCAGATTCTAAGCTCTTCAAATGTATAAAAATATTGAGATGTAGAAGAATATTGAACAGAAACTGCAATTCTAGGTAGTAATAATACATTGGCCATTGTCATTTAATAGGTTGCTCTGAGTAGAAACATTGTAAGTAATCATACAAAGATGTTGATCAATGTTTCTCACATTAGAATCAGCTAGGGAAGCTGGTTAATATGCAGATTCCTCGGTCCTGTGCCATACTACTGGATCAGCATCTCTGGGAGCCTGAAGAGGGCCCTGGGTGGTTCCTAGGTGCACTAGAGAACCAATGGCAGGGGCAGAGGAGGGGGATGGCAGATTCCAGGGGAAAGAGTGTCAGCCCCGTGCTGCTCCTTCATCTACTCTTGGCAATGTTAGCTCACCACGTCCCTTAAGGACTTCAGGGACTCCATACAATATACAATGAAGTCGGCAAAGAGGGAGGTAAATGGCTTACTCTATCTAAATGGAACTGAGGGTAAACAATCTGATATGCAGAGTACTCTGTACAGAAGAGCTGTGTGTTTTCAACATTTACTAAGCCCCTACTCCCATCAGTAAGAAAGACAAGGACACTGCCCACCAAAGACTGCTAGTAACTGATGGTCAATGATTCCCAGTATTAGCATTTTGGGTATAGCAATCCTTCCTTTATGGAACAGCTCCCAGCATGTTTAGTGTCCCTGGTCCCTGTCCCCTAAATATTAGTTTCACTCCCAGTCATTTTGGCAACCAAAACAATGTCTGCATACAGTCCCAAATGCCCTTGAAAGGTGGTACTGCCCTGTGGAGAATTACTGGTAGCTAGTAACCCCGTCAACCACAGGGAACCATATGATGATAGGATGTATAGATCACCCCCGACCTTGAAATAGCTTGGCAGCAATCCTGGAAATGGTAGAAAATTGATTTCAGAAACCAATGCTACTAGAAACAGCACTTTACTCCAAGAAGGCTGACAATCACTAAGAAGAAATTATTACTGTGAACGTACCTCTATTTTTCCGGTTAACCTCTCAATTTCAGATCGATCTTCCCTGTGATTATTGGTATTGCCTCTGAAGTCCCTTATTTGCTTTTTCTGTAGTTTTTCATAACTTCTCTTCAGTCTGCCTAACTGTAGACACAGTTATTTCTAGACTTAAAATTTAAGAATTTGTAAACAGTGGTGGTGGAACAAATTGGTATTGTGAAAGCAAGAATAGCACTAAGTAGTACTACTGAAAGTAGATTAAGAGCATGTTTGCTTTGCAAATTAAAATACAAAACAACTCAAATCTACATAGAAAACATAAACACTAGAGAAGAAATACATTGAGCCAAAGACAGAATAAAGGGAAAATATTTCTCTTAACAAAACTTTAATTGTTATTACAAAAGCCTTGTACTTAACAGCCCCACAACTCATCCCACCTCCGAGTAAAAGCAGCGAGGCTGTGGCTCTTGAGCCATTCTTCTGTGGGACACTGATAGTAAGCAGGAGAGAAGTATTTTGGAATTAAGTAAAAGTAATTTTTTTCCAATCTGAAGAATAAAATTGAGTTAACAGAATTTTTTTACTTCTCTTATTTATCCCAAAATGCTTCTGAATGCATCAGATCCTCCATTACTTAAAATCTAGTAACTGATTTAACTCAAAAATAATATTTAGTATGTTTTTGGTATCAATATGTCACAGTATTATACAAAAATAGCTCTATTTCTTTTAGGTACTCAACTGAGAAACACATTTTAGAATCTCTGTTCTAGGTTGTATCAAACATATAATTAGACAAGATTCTTTGCCTGGACTTAAGAACAGAGAAATCAATTCCCGCCCCCGTTCCTCCCATGAAATATATACTTTCCACTTTACAAAGTAAAACTAGCCTGTTAACAAAATTATCAAGGTTAAAGAGACAAAATGATACAACTCCTAACAGAATCAAATCTCACTTCTTCTTGTAGTTTCTTTAACTCCTGCTTATAGTCCATGGCCATCTCCTGCTTGACTTTTTCATTTTCTTCTACCTGTTGACGCAACATTCCAACCTACAAGTAGACAGGTGGTAGCATTGTTCATTATTAGCATTGAAACAATATCCCTGAAACATAAAAATAGAAAATAACCTTTGTACTTATTTGCAAACACAAATTCTCAATTGTATATGATATTACCCCACTTCTCAGTTAAGTCAAGTATCTAATTACTTAATGATCCATAACACTGCCAAGAAAAATTGAAAACAACTGTTCTGTTCTATTTCTAGGTTTAGATGAAAACTTGCTCTCACTGTCTGATTTATTCTCCCTAACCCTTTTCATTAAAAGAAAAAAAAATACATAAAAAAATTAAGAGATACAAAGTTATAAGAGCCTTGGAAACTAAGAATATTGAACAAACAAAAAATCTGAGACATCAAGAATAAGTTCTCTAAATCAAAATGCAAAATTGTAATGTCAGACAGAAAAGATAGTTGGAGACTTGCACCTGCTTTACCATGTATCCCAGTTCAGAGAAATCAGTTCTACAAACCAGAGCAAGGACATTATCCTAACCCATTTCAAATGGTTTGGTACCCACCACAGCTAGTTCATGCCCAGCCATCACCCCCATCAATATCCATCAATGTTTCTTGACCTCTCTTCCAATTAGAATTTCATCTAAGTGAGGATGGAGAGGAAGAATGAGGATCAGGAGTAATTTCAAATACGATATAGAATGGTAATTTTTTTAAAAATCTTAAAAGTTCTCATCACAAAAAAAAAATTGTTACTATGTATGATGGTGAGATTAAGCAGACTTATTGCAGTGATTGTTTTGCAATTTATACAAATATTGAATCATTACATTGTACACCTGAAACTAATATAACATTATAGCTCAATTATACTTCAGTATAAAAAAAGAGAAAAGAAAAAATTTTTATAATAACAAAAAGTTAATGCAATTCCAATGAAAAAACTCTAGGATTTTTTTTTAACTTGAAAAAGGTGTTCTGAAGTTCAAACTGGAAGAATGATTAAATGTAGCTAATAAAATAGAAAAGATAAAACTACTCTTTAATAAAGATCTAAGTGAATATTTACTGGATTGCTGGGGTAGGACAAAACTTTCTGAGCTTAAAACTGAGTCATTTAAAAAGAATAGATTTGACTATGTAAACATGCAAAACTTCTATATTTTTTAAAACCCCATTAAAGTTAAAAAGCCAATAAACTGAGAAAAACATTTATAAATATATTTCAAAGGATTTTTAACTTTTAGGTATTTCCTTCTAACTTGTTTCCACTATGTTCGGAGACCATACTCTGTGTGTTGAGACTTACTTTCCGGCCCAGAAAATGGTCAGTTTTGGAAAGAGTTCTGTTTGTGTTAGAAAAGAACGTGTACTCCACAGTCCTCTTGTGCAATGTTCTGTATGTATAACTTAGGCCAAGTCTATATCCTTACTGATGTTTGTCTCTTATTCCATCAGTTACTAAGAAAAGCAGGTTAAAATCCCCAGCTACAACTGTCACTTATTCTATTTCTCCTTGTAGTTCTGCGTCTTTTTGCATACAGATAAAGGAAAGTGAAAGAAATTTCTTTTAAGACTGTTTTATTAGATACTTACAAATTTAGTGGGGGGTTTGTGGGGGGATTTTCTGTCTTAGTTTGAGTTCCCCCCAAAACATAGCCTGAGACTTGGGCTTCGGGGCAAGTAATTGGAAGTGATCCCAGGTAGCACAGTGAGGAAATGTAAAGGGAGACCCAGGGAAGGAATAAAGAGGTGTGTTAGTGAGTGGATTTCTGCAGTTCAGCAGCTGCGGCTAAATCACACTTGGGAACTCACCAGGGAACCAGACAGAACGTGTTTCAGAATTGTCCCTCTATCTAAAGGATGGTAAGCTGGAGAATTTATGCAGATTCCAGTTCCTCCACTGCTTAAAAGTTGCCCTGTGAGTGTTAACATCCCCACACTTCCAAGGTTCACCTGAGCAGCTTTCCAAGGCTCCAGAGAGAGAAGCCCAGTGTAGTGAGATGCTGGCAGTGCACAGGAGCTGCATAATAGCCAAGATGAAATCAGGAGGCAAAGAAGATGTGGTACTGGCCACAAAGAATGTCTGCTGCAGTTATATGTACTGAAATTTCGTACTTTATAATTATGAAGGATTTCTCTTCACCTGAGTAATGTTCATTGCTTCTACTTCAAGTATACTTTTTCTAATATGAATATACCTACATAATATTTCTATTCAAAGTGTTTACATGAAATATATTTTTATTTTACCTTTTACTTTCAACTCTGGAGTTTAATTATTTTCATCCAGTTGGACAATTTTTATCTTCTTATTGGGCCATTTAGTGCATTTACACTGAATGGACCTATTCAGATTTAAATCTATATCTTGAGTGTTATTTGTACTTAATAAACTCTATGTTCCTTTTTCTCTCCTTTCTTGCCTTCTTTGGAACTGATAACGTCTTATCATTTCATTTTTCTCCTATAGCTTGGAAGATCTATACTCTGTTAACATGTTAATGTGTATTTTTAATGGTTCTCTCAAGATTAAAACATGTGTCTATGATTGAACAAATCTAATGTTAATTAGTAGATTTACCAATTCCCAGGCAACCCAAGGACTATAGAAATACTTTAATTCCATTTATCCCAAACCTGACTTAAATGCCATCATAATCCTACATATGTTTAACTGAAAAGGTTATTGTTGTTATATCAGTCAATATTCACTTAGCTTTACCCACATATTTACTGTTTCCTTTCATTTCTTCCTTAATCTCTTAAGCTTCCATCTGGGGTCACTTTCCCTCTGCCTGAAGAACATTCTTTAGTATTTCCTTGGTGCAGGTCTGTCAGTGACAAGTTCTCTCAATTTTTGTTGATTTGAAAATATCTTCCTTTCATTTTTATTCTGGGTATAGATTTCTGGTTTGGCAGGGAAAACAAGTCATTTCTTTGTAGATAACATTCTATTGTCTTCTGGCTTTCACTGTTCTAGCTGACAAGTCAACTGTTAGGAACTGTTTGTAGATAATGTCTTTTTATCTTGGTAGATAATCTTTTTGGTTTTATTTTTTTCTTTGTTTTTCAGATTTCTACTTTGTCTTTAGTTTTCAATCTAGGTAAATATTTCTTATATATTTTGCTTGAGATTATTGGATTTCTTAAATACAAGTTCTTCCTCACTTTTGGCAAAACCTCAGCCAATTTATCTTCAAATATTGCTTCTGCCCATTCCCTCTTTTTTCTCCTTCAGAGATTCCAAAAGCAGTCATACTAGACCTTTTCACTGTATCCTCTTTCATTTACTTTCTCTTCTATATTTGCTATCATTTTGTCTACTCTGTATTCTAAACATTTTCTCTTGAGCCATCTTCCAGTTTACTAATTAAGACCTTGGTTTCAATTATTCTATTTCTCAATACTCATTGTGGTTGTTTTTAGTTTCCAATTCTTTCAATTGCTTGGTCTAATCTTCTGTCTCTCTGAACACAGTACATATAACTACTGTAAAGTCTAAGCATAATAGTACCCATATCTAGATTTGTCTTGGGTCAGTTTCTATAATTTATTGCCCCTCCTTTTTAAAATTGTTGTTGTCTTGTCTTCTTATATGTCTGAGGTTACTATCTCAATGGTTATCAAGCATTATATTTGCAAACTTATTTGAAGAAATAATTCAAGACCCAGAATGGTGATTTTCCTTTCCTTTGGAGAAAATGTAAGTTTGTTTTTTTCCAGGTTCCTAGAAGCCCGAACACTCCGCGCTGCCTGGGGGGACAGTAGCACTCTAGGATCATCTTAAACTAATTCAGAGATTTTTTTAACCCTCACCAGAGGACACGCTTAGAAAGAAGAAGGGCGAGATGGAGAGGGAAAGATAAACATCAACTGGTTGCCTTCCATACATGCTCCAACCAGGGACCGAATCCAAAACCAGGTAGGTGTCCTGACCCGAAATTGAACCAGCAACCTCTAGGTGTACGGGAAGATGCTGGGACAGAGAGTTAAATGTCTGCACTTTGGTAGCAGTTTGAAGAGGACCTGTTCTACATCTGGCCCATCCTTACTCCTTTCAGGTTTCCGACTGAAAATGAGGAAGGATTCAGAGCCACCTTAGACATCAAATCCTTTATTTTCCTAACCCCTTGAAATTATTTTAAAAACCGATTCAGTCTCTATCCTCTCGACTGCCTTCTCTAGTTTCAGCTAATAATTGCCTCAAACCCTGGAACTCACCTCTGTGGACCTCTAGCCCAGCCTAGACCTGGCCTTCACTATCTTGTGAGCACTCTACTTCAAGCAGTTTGTTTTTTTTTAATCTAACATACTTGTCCTCAGAAGGTGAACTGGCCCAAATTGCCTAGTCTGCCATTATCAAATGTTCAAGTCTGAAAGATTCACATTTAACTAAAAACATCCCGAGTGAAATTTACTTCTCAAGCAGAATTCTACAGCCAATCAAACTTTCAATCAGATGTGAAAAGAGAATAAAGATATCTTCAGATATATAAAAGTATGTTCTACCAAAATGAGGAAATAAATGTATAAAAGCTCCAGAATAATAGTGAAGAGAGTTTCCAAGATGAAGCTATACTGCTAGTCTAGAGAGTCACTTAATTATATTTGAGAATGGCAAGCTCAAAAAGAAAGAAAATACTTTACCTGCATGCCTGAAAACACTAAGACTTACATTTGTATCAGAGAATTTGGGAAGAATCAATGATAGGTTCATTTTTAAAAAGCAAATGAAAATGAGACAATTATTAATTCCCAGAAAACAAAAAATTATACAAGAAGTAGTTTAATTATCATTATGCTATCTGACTCAGCTGTGAATAATATTTACCATCTTCATGACGTAAATATTGAATACTGAGCTTAACCAAAAATTAAGACATACGATCCTGGCAGGATGAGGAAGTGGAAACTGCATGGAAGAAAGAAAAACCCTTAATTTTCATAGTAGAAAGTCATTAGATAAATAGCTAAGCCTGAAAACTAGGATATGTGAGTATAAAATGTTACTTAGAAACATGGGGAGAATACAAAAGAAAGAGTTAAAGGTATTGAAATGATTGCTTCAGAGAAGCAGAAATCCCAGGTTCAGGGGGTTGGACAGATAATTTCTGTTTTCCTCTATGAGCCTTGTAGAATCTTTTTTTTTGTATTTATTATAGATGGCAAATATAAATATTAAATGAAAAAATATTGTTTAATTTTATTTATGTACCAGGGTCTGGCTCATAGTGGGCACTCAAAATATTTAAATTTCTTAAAAGAAAAGGTGGGGAAAAAAAAGGTTAAATGCTGAGAGTGAGGGACGGCATAGGTAGAGAAATGGGAGCCAAGGTCTGAAACCGTCATCATGGGTGACAAAAGAGCTGAAATAACTGATTCTAGATACAATTTATAGTTTTCAAAGTGCTTTCTTAAACAGTAACTCAATCTTCACAACAACACTGGGACTTAGGGTTTTCATCCTAATTTTACACATGAAGAAACAGGCTCAGAGAAGTCAAATTATTTGTTCAAGGCCAATCAGCTGAAAAGAGGCAGAGCCAGGACTCCAAATTCCTTACTCATTTCATGAAGTCTACCTGCTCTGTGGGGCATGAGAAGGCAACAGCAGCAGAATGTCCGTGAAAACCAACCCAGTCCCAACAGTATAATCAGAAGTCATAAAGCATCCACTTACAAAACGGGCTGTTTATACTAGTACTCCTCCACATATGACCTGCAGACGGGCTGGTGCTAGTCACAACAGCAATCCAGCAGGTACCAGGAGCTTGAGGCAGAATGTAAATCAACTGTGTCACCAAACACACGGTTTAGTGCAACTGACATTTTTCTATAGCAAAACCTTCTATGAAGTGAAGGGCGCAATGCACTGGTTGACATTCTGCTGCAAGATTTTGATTTCATCATGGGCCCATTACCTGAGCAGCAATGGTTTATACCTCAGGACTAACTGCTTCTAAGCTGGCAAACAAATACAAATGAAAAAACCTGCGGCCCTATTTTCTAGTTCTTATGTCATTTACTCTTCAAAGTAGAATATGAACATGGTATTACCAACACAATTTATTTTTAATTCTCACCTGAGGATATGTTTATTGATTTTTTTTTTTCTTTTGAGAGAGAGGGGGGTGGGGGAAGGAGGGAGAAAGAAACATCAACATGAGAGAAACATCTATCTGTTGCCTACTGCATGGATCAAATCTGCAACCTAGGTATGTGTCCTGACCAGAAATCCAACCCGAAGCCTTCTGGGTATGTGACAATGCTCTAACCAATTGAGCCACTGGCCAGGGCTCAACACAATTTCACAGACAAACTATGGAACAGATTCCCATTACTAGTGTTTGGTAAAAGCACTTTAGTTCTAGAAAATTAATCTACTTTCAGCAGCCCATTCAATGAAGCGGCAAATTGACCAGACAGCTACAATTCTAAATTTCTTTTATGTGCCAGGACAAACCTGTGATCTTCAAATTCTTAACATGGAACCTATAATTTCTCTTTACGGTATTAAAAAATAGCAATAATGCCTTTGACATCCAAACTAAGCTACAGAATTAAGTTCAAACAGCCTCAAAGTGACTAAATGTTCTCATAATCACACACACAGGAATTTCTTTCATGGGTTTATACCACAATAAATGACTTGGAGATATATATACACAGAGTGGGGCTTGGGACCAATGTTTCTCTACAACTCTTCTAATCCTTCTGAGATTGCCATCCATGCCAGAAATTCAGAGGCAATTCTTGCACTTATATAAATGCTTTCTGCTTCCCTTCCAATAGTGAGTGTACTTTTACTGTACCAGCTAACAGCAAATATTAAACTTTTCCCCCAAATCACCAAAAACTGTGGGTGGTGAGATTTCGAGTAATTTTTATTTTCTTTTGTTCTTTCTTTTCCCCTAATTTTGAACAGGGGCAAATATAATTTTTTAAAAAAAGGGTTTTCTGAATTTTGTTTTAGATCTAATCAAAAGAGGCAAATTATTGAATTCTGGGCTTACTTTTTCAAGCTAGGCATACAGTAAGACCATAAACAATGTTCACTAAATTCAGTGAATGTTAATACAGACATATAGGATGGAGGTTATACAAAGATCATGTGACACAATTCACATTTTCATAAAGAAGTTATATATGTATTTATTATATGTGACCAAAGTAACAAGACCATTGAAATAAATATTAATATTTTTGGGCATTTTCACAATGAATTTTTCTTCTAAAATTACAAGACAACATAGAAACTAAAGACACAAAAATGCTTTCTTCAACAAATATTTAAGAAATATCTTTAATGTCAAAATATCAAAAAGAGGAATAAATCAACTGCTTTACCTCTTTGTGTTTCATATCCAACTGACTCCTAAGAGACTTAAGTTCCTGCTCACGGATGTCCAAGCACGTTTCTAAAGCATGTGTCTGCCCTTCCCATTCAGACTTTTTATGAGCCACCATTATGTCAATCTGTTTCATGAGCTCCTGCAGTTCTGCTTCACAGGATGTCAAAAATCCCCTATAAGTAAGAACAGACCCTTAACACAGACATGTCAGAGTGGCTTTTCATCTTTCAGATGCAAAAATATAGCAGATATAAACCTACCTGGGGGGAAACAATGCCAATAAATAAATTATCAGAAGCAAAGAACAGGACTTCTGAGCTTTTCCTTTTAATGTTCATATTAAGGTGGTGACTTATCCCCCAAAATATTTTATCTTCCTCTAACAGCCAACCTAAAGCCTAAGTTTTGGGGTCAAACACAAAATTGATGTTTTGAGTCTAGCTTGTAAGTTAGACTTTGACAACCAACAACTAGCACTTCTGTAATATTTTAGGGGAGCTTTCAGGAAGAATCCCGGCCAGCTTATGTCACAGTCTCAGCTAGTCAAAATAAAAAGCTTTGGAAGCAACTAGGCTATTGGGAAAATGATAATACAATTTTAAGAGCTGTTTCAAGAAAGTCGTCCTTGAGTCAGACTTATTTCAATTATTTTTCCCACTTTATTAGAAACCTGCTGCAACCTATCTGATTATCGTAAACTTACTGATGTCCTGCAAAGTTTCAGGAGACGCCAGATATTTCAGAGTTGGAGACAGAAGTGGACACAGATGTAAGGGATGTAAAAAGGCTTCCAAGAGTGGTCAGAGAGAGCCACAACTACTAAGGCTTAAATACTTTTTTAAAAAACATTGCTCTTAGTGTCACAAAACCTCTGTACTTCTACTTTTGCTTTTTAAGAGTAGAAAATTTAAAGAGGGATGAAGGCAAGCGTCCAGCTTCACACGGCTGTGATGAGGCCAACATCCCAGAGAGACGCTCTTCACAAACAACACAAATCAGCTTAGCTTTGGTTCAACGCTTTTGCTTCTGTATCCAAAGCACAAAATGGTCAGAGGCAGCACTCAAATACGCTGCTTAAATTCAGTGAGACACTTAAGGTCAAAAGCAAACTTACCCATCATGCCCCCTATTTTGTATTCCTTCCAACAAAGCCTCCATCGCCAAATCCCCTTTGTTTTGGCAACTGGAAAAGGAAAAATATCAGTCAGGAGAAAATTCATTTTTTAAGTTCTAACATTCCAACTGACAAGAATGTGAATGAACGCATACAAATAGCAATGAGAAAATGCAGTGCTTCTTACGATGACTGTAGGGGCATATAACTTCCAAAAATATTAGGACAAAATACATTCAGACTAAAACAAAATGATTTAAAGGGATCTAGCTGCAGTTGACACTCTCCCTGCATGCCTGAAATCAAATGCCTCATTGTTGTATGCCTACTTCCTAACGTAAGGGTGGGCCAGAGGTGGAGGTGGAGGTGGGATGCTGGAAGCAGAGGGACACTGACATAAACCCCCATGCATAAGAAATTAGGGGTCACACACGGCAAGAGAAAAGGTGTAGCTTGGGGGGGTGTTGTTTTTTGAGATATTATCAACAGGTTCAATGCCCTGAGCTTGAACTCCCTGGTCCATCACAGGATAGCCTCCTCAACCTCAGGAGGACAAACCCTGGCCGCTTCCTAGAAGACCATCCCTCCCCTGAAAGCCGCCCTCCTCCACACTTCATCCTTCCTAGTCCTTAACAGGTTCTTCACAGTGGAATACATCCTTTTCCTTACGGTCCATCCCGCAAGGACAGAAAGCCAATGTTATTCATCTCTGCAGCTCCAGAGCTTAGTGTAGCATTTCAACAGGGCATGTGCTAGATGCTTTGGGCTGAACTTACGTCAGTTCCCCTCCCTTTTACCCATCCCCCTATGCAAAGTGGTCATAGCTGGAGAACTAGAGAAGGGCCGGGTAGAGAAAGAAGGGAAGGGAAACAGAAGAGACTGTCATAGAAAGAGAAAGATACCATAAAGAAAGATGAGGAGAGAGGAAAGACCGCCCTTAATTTCAGAAGTGCCCATGATTAGTAATACCTCTTGTAGGTTTTTCCCTACTATCACAAATCTTCAAAATATTAGTCATGGCAAATCACTTCTCACTCCTGAAATAATGCTTTTTTCTTAAACCTTCAAAGACTCAGTCCTGAGTTAATCTTTTAGTTCATTGGTTCTCAATCTTCTGGCCCTTTAAATACAGTTCCTCATGTTGTGACCCAAACATAAAATTATTTTCGTTGCTACTTCATAACTGTAATGTTGCTACTGTTATGAATCGTAATGTAAATATCTGATATGCAGGATGGTCTTCGGCGACACCTGTGAAAGGGTTGTTCGACCGCCAAAGGGGTCTCGACCCATAGGTTGAGAACCGCTGCTTTAGTTAATTCCGAAATATTGTGGTGTGGAGGTTTTGCCTCTTTGTCCTAATACCCTGTTTAAAAATTCTATTTCTCTAAGGATTCTTTCATTCAACAAATAATTCAATGGTGCATTAACCACTAGATATATAGTGATGAAAGATATGGCCCTTTTCAAGGAATTAATAGTCCTGTATGGAAAGAAAAAAAATGACCAAAAATGTTCTTTCCCCAGAATGAAAATGTAGAGTCAGAGGAATTCTCCTGAAAGCACAGAGGAGAATGACAAAAGTGGAAAATACGGCCACTGTGTTATTTGCATCTACTTCTAAAGTTCTATCAGGAGTGTTAAACTATTCATAAATAAATACGACAGAGAGCATTTTTTCTAGTTGGCTTGTCCTTCATTAGACAAAATAAAAACCTAGAGAGAAAGGTTTTCATGTTCTACTCTACTTTCTTTCAAACCATGATATGGTCCAATTACCACACAGCCCAGATTCCCACTCTAGGGAACTGAGAGGCAGGGCAGGCTTCACCCAGTTCCATGCAGATGAAGACCCAGGATGCAATCCTGCTCTGCAACTATCTAGCTGTGTCCCTGGACTTCAGTTTTTGCATCTGTAAAATGAGGACTCTGAACTATAATCTCCAAGGTTTCTTCCAGCTTTTCCATGGGATTCTAGTAGCCAGTTAAATGTTCTGGGTAACTAGCTTCCTCCTGATAACTAGACATGGTTATTTATTAAATATGTAGGAAAGTGCTATTACTCAAAATTATCATTAGTAAAATTACATTTAGTTAGGTCATGCTATTCTTAAACATTAATATACTTAGTAATATATATATTAATAATACACATTTAGTAATATAAATACATTGATATATTTTCTGGGTGACATTACTTTATAATTAGCAATATTTATAATAGCAAAAAGTCAACACGTATGTACTCAACTGTTTTTGCCTTGTATATATTATCTAATTCTTCACAACACTCATAAAAGACAGATACTATTACTCTGATGAAACTGAGACCTCGAGGGTTAAATAACTTGACTGGTAAACTACAAATTATAGTCCTAGGATTCAAACATAGGCAGTGTGACTGCTGAGTCTCAGCCAATGTACAATATTATGTATTTTACAGTATTCCAGATCTTAAAATACCTTCATATCTTCTTTTGGTTCAATAGAGTCTTCTTGGCAATAAACAAAATCAAAAAGTTGAATACAGGAAAAAATATAAACTAAGTATGACATCATTATCATGGCCACCAGGTGGCAGTAGCACAATAGTGAAAATAGTCCACATGAGGAGGAAAAGTGCTATTTCAGAATTCAAAATAATGGTCTAAGACAGTGGTCAGCAAACTCATTAGTCAACAGAGCCAAATATCAACAGTACAACGATTGAAATTCTTTTGAGAGCCAAATTTTTAAACTCAAACTATATAGGTAGCTACATTGTTATTAACTTAATTAGGGTACTCCTAAGGCTTAGGAAGAGCCACACTCAAGGGGCCAAAAAGCCGTATGTGGCTCGCGAGTCGCAGTTTGCCGACCACGGGTCTAAGACAAAGAGATCCTTCTTTTTAAAGGTGGGGGTAGGTTGTGAGGGGGAGCAGCAGCATTCTCCGTGTAAAATAATCTTACTAACGTATAATTATGTTTCTTTAACAATACCCTCACCAATCTGCTTGAGTAGCAGTCAACACCATCTATTCTCATTCCTTAGGATCAGGTAAACAGCAAGGATTTAGATTTTCTGAGGACTTTTCTCATTTCAGTTTCTCACAGCTATATCACTACTTCCTTTCCTGACCAATCTGGCACTCATTCAACTCTAGGCACTATGTCACTTTGCTTTCTACTTTGCCTGTGCCATGTGATAATTATGTAAAGTTAACTATTTTTTGTTCATAATATTAAATACAAATTTAAGTAATTACTGTTTGGTAATCTGCCACTCTTGGCCACTAACATAAAATGCTAATGTGGTTCAATGGAAACTGTATAGCTCTACAATTATTGCACGGCAATCTTAGTCATTTCTACATTTATAGCAAGACATCAACAAACAAAAGTTATTAATTAAAACTATCCTTTGAAATCAAAGCTGTTTTAAATCAGTGAAATCTGGAATAGCATGATTAAAGGAAATACAAGCTTTTTCACCAAGTCTGGAAAGCAGACTTTCACTTTTAATCTTAAGGGGAATAATCCAAATAGGATAACTGATAATGGGCAAATCCTTGAAATTCATTAACATATTTCTGGGAATTTAAGAGCTAGAAAGGATCTGAGACCTCCAATTTAACCTCTTCATTTTACAGATCAGGAAAAATATCTAGAGTATATGGCCAAGATAAAATTATTTACAAAACGGGACACAGGAAGAAAAAAGCTCTGGGTGGAATTATAAATAAATGTGTACTAAAAGAAGGGACATGTCTACCCATCAACTCTCATTTAAAGATGGATATAATGCTCTGTCCCTTACCTGCCTTGGTGTTACTATGATTATAAAGATGGATGGCTCTGTCAGATATATTATGGCTGCTCCAAAAAAAATCAATAATTTATAATTTACCACTGCCCAGAAAGGTCCCTACTTATTAAACTTAAGGTGGGGATTCGGGGGGAGGTGGGGGCTGCACGGGGGGAATCAGCAGATAAAGTATCAAAGAAATTTTCCAAAATAAAAGTGTAAAACACTGTTTACACTGTGACTCAAAATCCAGAAAGAATAAGAGGAAAGACTGAGAAATCTGAGTAAATAAAAATACATTTTGCCCTGGCCGGTTTGGCTCAGTGGATAGAGTGTTAGCCTGTGGACTGAAGGGTCCCAGGTTCAATTCCAGTCAAGGGCACATGTCTGGATTGCAGGCTCAATCTTCAGTAAACAGGGTGCAGGAGGCAGCCAATCAATGATCCTCTCTCATCACTGATGTTTCTATCTCTCCCTCTCCCTTCTTCTCTGAAATCAATAAAAATATGGTGTTTAAAAAATACATTTTTTTCATGGGAAAAATGCCATAAGCAAAGTTAAAAGACAAATGACAACAGTATTTGAAAGTTTTATCATAAAGGCTTAATTATTCAAATATACAGAGAACCTAAAATGGGGGGAAGAGGAAGAAATCTATAGAAAAATGGGCAGAAGACTAATGACCTTAAACATATGAAAAGATGCTTGACCTTGCTCACCAAATTTAAACTACATTGAATTAGCATTTCTTTTGTATTACAGTAACCAAAAAGTAAAAGTTTGACAATACACACTCATGAGGTATGGGAAGATAAGCACCCATGTACATTGCATGTAGGAATATAAAGTGGTACAACTACTATAGAGATTTTGGCAATACCTAAAACCAATATACATGCATTTATTACCCTTTGATCAAAAAATGCCACTCCTAGGAAACTATCCCAAAGACACATTGGCAAAAATACGAAGTCACATATGCACAAGAATATACATTGCACAACTACTTGCAATAGTCGGAAAAAACACAAATGTCTATCAACAGGGAAGTATTTGAATATTCATCCACCAATAAAATACTATGAAGCTGTAAAAAGGGGTAACAATCTCTACATACTTCTGTGGAGGGCTCTACAAGGCATATATTATTAGGTAAAAAAAAAAAAAAAAGGCAAGATAAAAACAGTATATGTGAAAACCACCTTTTATCTTAGAAGGGTGTGTGTGTGTGTGTGTGATGCATTTGTTTATAGGAACAGATAAACCCAAAACTAGTAAATATGATACCTATGAAAAAGGGAGTCAGGTGGAGAAAAGAGGGATGTACTTTGTTTTACAGGTACCTCTTTTATAGGAACTATGTTAATGGTTTACATATAATAAAACAAATCCAAATGGGGAAAAAGCAAGATTGAAAAACTGAAAACAAAATTAAATAAACCAACTTACCAACTAGATATCAGGTTGACAGCCTAACAATATACCAAATTGTTTCATGTTTTCAAAATGCAATAATTGCACTGTATATATATCCAAAAAAAATGGAATATATAGTAAGGATAAAAAAGAACTGCAAAGAAATCCTGAACACTATTCAGGAATCATATTGTTGATAATAAAATCGGTGATGTTAATTTGAAACAGTTATATATAAAATATAGGATAAGAGAAAAGTAATTATGTTAATGATATTAGGTACCAATATTTTTAGCAAAAGAGGAAAAGATACAAATATAAAATAAAATACAGGAAAAACCTATAAAATTAAATTGGAAATATCAGTGTGAATTCTGTATATATCTCTTTTAAAAATGTATTTCCTAACTCTGGCCACTGTAAACCTAGAACTAATGACCAACCTCGCAGCAAGAGTACCTCTAGCACCCAGACTGTGGTCTCTCAATACCATCGCCCACTCAAAGGAACCAGGCTCCTTGGTGGCCAGAAATATATAAATGGGCCAGGAACATGTTTTACCAGAAAATGAGGAAATTATCAGAGACCACGAGTCACATCAAAGTCTACAGGAGCCAACTTAAAGAGCCCACCACTGGCCAAAAGACAGGACAATTTGAGCATCCAAAAAATAAAAAATGACTGCACTAGGTTAAAACAGTTTAAATATATTCAAGTCAATTAAGTTCATGATGATTTTTTTTAAAAGGCAAAAACCCTCATGGTTACCTTTGGAGGTTGTTAGGCCACCAACTCATTACTGTAGTCTGAAAATAGAGGGAAAGAATTAAGCATTTTTCTTGCCTCTCCTGTACAAGTTGTGTTTCAAACAACTGATGGTAGTCAAATAGCTGGTGGGAGAAAGTTCTTCATGAAAGATTTCCAGCTAATAAATACTGAAGGAATGACAGAATTATAAAATCACCACATTAAACTCCTAATGTAATAATGGATGTAGGCCATCTAAATCCATGAGAAGACTTCCCTTTTAAGGGAAAGGCTCACAGAGAATTTCATGATGAATGGATGGGGCTGACAACACTTGAACCCACTATGCTGCTCAATCTTAACATCACAAAGAGGGACAATTCCTTGTGTGCCTCTCTAATAATTAATGCAACAGGAAGTGCACTGCACCATAGGACATCGCCTTGCTCCCCCCCCCTTCTAGCTTCCTCCCTTGTGCCCCCCCTTCCTGCCCCAACCAAAAAAAAAAAAAATCAAGGTTGAATCTGATCAAGCTTCTAGATCAGTGCTGTTAAACAGATATTTCTGCAATCATGGAAACATTTTCTATCTACACCAAACAGTAGCCACAAGGCACCTGTGACTACAGGTCCTTGAAATGTGGCTAATGTGACTAGGGAACTGAATTTTTGGTTTTATTTCATTTTAATTCATTTAAATAGCCACAGCTGGCTGGTGAGTACTATAGTGGACAGTACAATTCTAGATCTACTAGTTTAACGACAATAAAGGAAACAGATGTACATGTTAATGCAGATGTAATTAGCTAAATCTAGAATGTTAAGGGGAAGGGGAGGCAAGGGAACGGCTAGATTTAAAAGCTTTAAAAGGTGTATCAATCAAATGCAACATGTGGATCTCCATGGGATTTTTGACCCAAACAAGTTAATTATAAAAAGACATTTAAGGGACAGGGGAAATCTGAACCCAGACTGAATACTGACATTATGGAATTTTTATTAATTTTCATAGGTGGATGACAGTACTGTGATTTTGCAAAACTGAAAAACATAAGCCTAGCTCTTGGAGAGAAAAAAAAAAAAACAACCCTAACATTAAAAAAAAAAAAAAATTCAGTGTCTGAAACCAATAACAAGTTGACCTTTTTTTTAGAGTAGGAAGCTCTGAGAGTGGACTACATCGGCCACCTCTACTACCGGAAACAGGAAGGACCAAGCAGTCATCCTTTCAGTGGGAGGAAAATGGAATCAGTACAATTGACATACACAATTATAATTTTTAAAACCTGAATCTACATACATTTTAAAGGGCAGTGAGTGTGACAATGTTTATAAAGCTTTAACACATTTTACATTGTCTTTATTATGACACTAGAGGCCCGCTGCATGAAATTCGTGCACAGGTTGGGTCCCTAGGCCTGGCCAGCAATCCCGCTGCCAGCGGGCCTTCCTTCGCACCACCCCCTGGTGGTCAGTGCACATCATAGCGAGCGAACTCCAGGTCTCAGGGTGGAACTCCTGAGGGGACACTTTGCATATTAGCCTTTTATATATAGAAATTATATTGATCACTGATAATATACAAAGGACAAGAAGGTCAGGATAAAAGTCAATCTAAAGATTCCAAATCTACATTCCACGTAATAAAATAATGCACTTTACTACATCTTTAAGCTACAGCATAAATCTAAACGTTACTATTTGAAGGTAACTTGTAGCTGAGATTGTTATGATTTCCTTTTATCTATAAAATTAAGTGCAAGCATGTGGGGAACTGTGAAACTATAGGGTACCTTCCCTATAACACTGATTTATTAAAAGGAATAAAATAACACTTAAAAGTTTCAGGAATCAGATGTAAGGCTCAAGAAAAACGACTTTGTGCAAATAAGTGTACTGCAACTAAAATGAAGACTAGTCACCGAATTCTCACTCATCTTCTCTCTTACGTTGTAAGGGGCACCTGCGACATCTTCATTATTAGAGTGTCCCTAGGGCACCATCCCCGTCACACCCTCAGTCATCACTGACTTCCCAGCCATGATTTGCATGGAGCAATCCACCGTTCAGGGTTCCCCCACTTCAGACCCTCCTGTACTAACATTCATGTTTTTAAACGAATCCACTTGTTTTAAATGGCTAACCCTCCCACCGTAGGCGAAGCGGCATCACCTGCCGAATCACAACAACGCCAGCAGCAAGCTGACCAACCACACAGGGCAGTCGAGGCAAGAGGGTCAGTGCGGGGGAGCCCAGGGCTCGGGAGCAGCTCGCCCATCCCCTCCCCCGCCGGCCCGGCC